GCACCAGGCAGCCTTTATTTCCTACATTGTGATACTATAGTTTCTTAAGTTTTTTTAAAATTTAGAAAAAAAATTTTTGGGTTGGGATTGAAAGTTAATGGCCATAATAAGTATTACTAAATTATGTATTCAGCTACAGGGAAAAAATGATTGAGAATGTTTTATACAATTGTTTTAACCTAGTAGCAAAATCATATTTTGTCAGATATCCATGTGGAAAACAGAAGCAAAAGCACTTTAACTATTGTACTGTTCACTGTTATTTATATCTAAAAATAAGCTAGTGCTTCCAATCATTAGAAGGCATTACATTACAGAAGTTATCTGATGTATATTTATATTGAGTGTATTAAGTTGTTTGGGAAATATCAAGGGGTGGATTCCGTCATACATATGATTCTGTTCAGATATTTAGTTCTCACATTAAAAAAAGTTGTTTAATAATCAAAGAAATTTTACTAGTAACAGGTTTAAGATAAAATTATTTGATCCTAGCCACCCTGTCCCAAGAACAAAATTATGCTGTTGAATATAAAATAAATTACAGAAAACCAACATGCACTTGTTCTTCCACAAACAGTTATAATACTTCAGAGTTCAAATTTATTCAATAAAAAAAATTCTTTACTTAATTTTATGTATTCAAATTTTTAAAACCTCAAATTTAGATTTTGGGTTGATTTCTGTGTGCTCCAAATGATAACATTAATGTTTGTGAATTTCCTGAATTTTTTCTCAAAAAATACAGCATTCATAACCTTAGAAGGAAAGTTGAAATAGTTTAGAACAAAATAGAGATAAAGCTTCCAGTTCAGCAAAACCTCATGTTAAAATTGGATCAGTATGATAAAAGCTTAGATTGGTGATATGTTGCTAAAAGGAAAAGGTGTTTGTGAACAACATGTGACACAGTAACAGTCCTGAATTTATAAAGCTTGCAAAAAGTTTGTTTTAGCATTTTATACTTCATATGAATTATTATGTAGTATGATAGGAAAAATAGTTTTTGTTGAACAAGATGATGTAGGTTTGATTAATTACTTTGCACTCAATAATACCAAGTTTTTAATTTTGAGTTTACTTACTGATTATAAGTATTATTGTATTACAAGTTACAGCTTTTACAGTAAAAATATTCTTACTGTAAAAGCTGTAACATGTAATAAGATAACTTAGGTTTTGTTTTGTTGACAGGGCCACTATCTCTGAGGCCATTTTTGCTTTAGTCTTTATTGACCTAAGTACCTCTTTTAATGAGCAAAGAAAATCAATGTAAAAAAATGTATAGATGAATATAAAGTGTGTTTAAAACTTTTTGTGTATATTAAATGAAACTTTCTGATTAACATTTATATAACAGTTGGTTTGCTTATAATTTTGATATGATAAAATTTTATTCTTATTGTACACTAGGAATGGTGAGCACAGTGAAACTGCATACTGTGTTTTTCTAATAAAAAGAACAACATTTACAGTTTAATAAAGTAGAAACTGTGTTGGAAAGTTCTACAACAAAGGTAAGCATTTGTAAGAAACATACCACAATGAAAGCTTTTCAAATTTTGAAAACTGCAGAATGAATACAAGTAGCACATATAAAAAATTGGATATTTTTTGCAATGCATAAAACAAACCATACAACAGTTTTTATGAAGTTAAGTGAGATTGTGATTAATGTGGCCTATTCCTTAATGACTCTGAAGAAGCACTCAATACATATTATGACATACAAACAATTATGAATATGCAAATTAGGAATTTATGGGACAGACACTGCTCATTTAAAGTCGTAGTGGACCATCATGTATCAGAATTACTTTTTGACATTGTTTTCCATTTCATAGATAGTGTAATGTCACCAAAAACTGATTGCTTTTGGGAAGTGTAGGCAATGGCTATTTCCAAAGTTAAATTTTCATACACTAGGACCATAAAAATGTACTTGGGTTGGGGATTTAGAAATTTCAAGATGAAGATTGCACTTGTACTTAATAACATTGGAAAACAAAATATTATGGATCTATTTTAAACACCAGGACCATCCAGAAAGAGACCTACAACAAGTTGTACCTCAGCCGTGTGGTGTCTTGTAACAGGTGAAAATCCCCAAACACAAAGGATAGTTAAAAAAAAAAACACACATGTGATCCAGGCAATATAATCAAGAAGGATCCCCATCTGGAAAAATGACAAAAGTCGTGTGTGTGTGTTCGAGTTTATTTAACAAGGTATACATTCAACTATTGCACAGTTCATGCAGCTAGAAAATGAAATATGTATTCGTGTTACTCCTTATGAAATCATACTGGAAAAGTTGCCATGTGCAGAGCTTATGGATTTCTGTACAACTAGATTGTTGAAATGATCGCTTGAAAACTGCCATTTTCTATCTATCTAGATGGTACATGGAAACCTTGCAGAGGAGTAGTGGTGTCCTTGAACATGACAGCCTTATGCTGTAATCTTTTGCAATAGAAATTATGCTACAGAACTATTGTCAAGATGCCTGATTGTTAGATAGAGCAAGACTAAATGCAATGACATTGTGAGGAAGTTCTGAAGCTCCAAAATCATTTTAACATAATGCACAGAATTTTTGTAATTGATGTCATTCTGGTTTTACGAATGAGATGGTGAGGAATTAACTCAATTATCTTAGTCATATAACTCATTTGATATCTTCATAGATAAGATAATTTGTAATCAATTGCTTTTATTAAGGTTTGTCTTGTAAGGAATAGACTTAGTGCTCTATATTTCTCATCAAGTATATGGCAGCCATTATGCCAATATTACCAGATAAATCTCCCCTAAAGTCAGATTCATCATACTTGGAGAGAATTTAGGACCACAAAAGCAATCAAAAAATTAAACTCAACAACCCAAGCACTTTAGAAAGATGGACCTTCCTTAACTTGTATAAAGAATACAAGATCAAAGTTGTTACATTCATATCTACTTTAACCTACATTTACTTCTTTGGCACCATCTGGTCATAAATGTTGCTCTGAAGAAACAATGACCACCTTAGCAGAGGTCACATATATGAAGCACGATATTTCAGTGACCAAAATGTGCATCAAAACCTTTTGTAGTGCATTCTTTATATCATACACCAATCTACAATTGAAATAAATGTCACTGACTCAAATAATATAGCACAACAAATAAAATTTCAAAAGTTTGGTCAAACATGTAAAAAAAAAGGTGCCTTTCTTGCAAATTGACTATTGAGTTAAAATTACCATTATCTATATTTATATTAATGTGTGTAATTTTGTTAAGTTTGCTTTAGGAGTTGAAGTTAAATAAGCCTGTAAAGCTTTGTTTTGGTTCTATATTGGGCATTCTCATTTTAGTTTTACTGGAAAGAAATTTTTAGTTTTGTTATATTTTTGATTTGGAGATTTATCCTGGAGACTTGTCATTCCACTTCCATTTATCAACATGAAATGTCATATCCACATTTTCTCCCATGTGATCTCATTGTACAACAGATCATAGTGCTCCTATTTAGTTTTGTTATATTTTTGATTTGGAGATTTATGCTGGAGACTTGTCATTCCACTTCCATTTATGAACATGAAATGTCATATCCACATTTTCTCCCATGGGATATCATTCTACAACAGATCATAGTGCTCCTATTTAGTCTTGTTATTATGTTTTTTCTAATGTTCTTTGTTTTGCAATAAAGTAGCACCTGTTTTGTATTTTGTTATTCTTTGTGATTAATTCAGCTGTTATCTTTATAGTTATGTCACTCAATGCATGTTCATTTTCTTGTTTATCAAATTCTTCATTCATTATTACACCAGTTTTCCTTATCTAGGATGTATCTGTCCTATTAGACAGCCTTATTTTCTGGAGTTTGCGAAAGAGTGATCTCAATCACTTTTTGTGGCATTACAAGTTCATGTTATGGGTCCTTTACATCATGTAGGGGAGTTTTCTTGGGTTGTTTTTATATCCTATTTATTCTGGTAAGTCTGAATTGTAAGGTTTCCTCATACTTAGAACTTGAACCCTTTAGTCTGTTTCTTCAGTTTCTGCACCCTCAAGTGATTTGATTGCATTGCTTTAATTATCCTCAATTACAAGCTTTTTCTCTACTAACCTCCTGTACCAGATTATTTGGTTTATGTGTGGCTTTTGTGTTAGGTGGTCTCATGTATTATTTCATGCCTACCACTTCCTTATATATGTTTTTAATAGTTTTCAACAGTCTGGAAAAGGTGTTTTTTTCTGGTTGTCACTTTTTAGTTAGTTCAGTTTCAGCTTGGTATGGAGGAACCTTTTTGTTACCTTCTTGTGCAGGCTTCTTGTTGACTTAACTTGTCAATTTTTCAGTGATACTCATGTCATCTATCTTTAAGTTTTGTTGTTTTCAGTTTTATCAAATTGCAACATTGTTAGCTTATTCTTGCTGCTTATCTCCTTTATAGGCTTATGTCAGCCTTGGTGTGCAGATGTGTTTTGGTCCACTTCTCTTTCCTTAGTTTTCTCAGTTTCCTTTGTATATCTACTTTATTGATGTTTTACCACCTATACATCTTTTCTTATGAATCTTGAGGTGGGACATTTTTCTCACTAGTGTAACCTGTTTCCTATCACATTTAGAAATTTACTAAAGCAGCTTCTTTACTTGATTTAATTCATTTTTGGGGTTTGCTTTAAAGGGAGTTTTACTCCACATTTTATCAGCTTCCCTATCACTATCTCCTTGGTTGTTTATTATCTAAGTAGTATATATATATATATATATAACCTGGTCTGAGAACCTGCCATGGTTTGTTACTGTGTTGGTACAGCCTTACTTCATTCTCTGTTTACAAAGTTGCTAGAAGTTTTTGTTATGGGATAAATTATTATACACTTAAGTAAGAGGTAATACTGATTTCTGCTTGGGATGGTTGTGAGAGCCTGTAATTTAAATTTCTATCTGTTTTACACATTTTGAGCTTTTGGGAGGATTTTGATTACTTCCTTTCTCCTTCCAGGTTTGGTATATGAAGGTGGGTGTAGACCAACCTTATTCTCAGCATCTACAAGCATGTAGCAGAGAGCTATTCAATAAACTATTGAATGATTATGTGGATATGACACAACAGACTAATCGAGGAAAATTAGGCTGAAGTTACTATAAGAATTTTGGAAAAAGTTATTGCTTTGTTTAGGGTATCTATTTGTTAATAGTTTTAATTCTGAAAGTAGTAATTTCCAGAATATAAAAAAAATTACATTACAGTTAATAGTAATTATAAATAATTAGTAAAAGTGCATAAAATATTTGTGTTTATAAACCTAACATTATTAAAACATAGTTATAGGCCAAATTTATTACAGCACTGATTTGTCAGCTTAGTGAGTTCATTAAAAAGGGTTTGGATGATATTAAGTTCAATAATCTGTAAATGAAGATAATCCATTTTTATCTATTGAATTTCTTCTGAATATTTGAGCCATTTTTTTTTTATACAAAGTACAAGACATAAGTTTGAACCAGTTTTTGACTGAGAGAGGAACAAATATTTTACAGATTTATGTTACTTTTCCTTTATGATTTTAGAGTAAAAGTAGATAACATATTCCTGATTATTTAAAACTACTAAAGTTAAACATTCATTAAAACTAAATTTTAATGAAAGAAACATTGAATTTGCCTTGGCTTGTTGGTGCTAAATTTTTCCATGTATGATGTTGTATATATGTTTAAGAAATTGTGTGTATTTTCTCAAAGAAAACCACTGAAATTTAAATATCTATTTTTCAGTAAGATTGCTGAAAGTTCAAACATCAGTTATAATCATCTCTGTTGGAAATAAATTTTTATATTAGAAAAGAAGAAACTTGAAATTGATGTAATTTTTTGCATTTTAATATCACAATGTTTTTCATGTATAAAGTTCATATTATATAACAAAGCACATAGTCATAAGACTATCTATACAAGTTTTGATAGCCTACCCCATAATTAATTGAATTGTACATTCTTAGAAAAACTTCTTTTAAAGAGAAAAACTAAAGCTTTATATTTAAAAAAAAATTTATATATACTGTTCAGCCAAGTATGAATTAAAGGTTTCATGTAGTGTTTTTATTACCCACCCTGCATTTGCTTGATTAATCATTCAGAATTTTCAAAGAAGAATTCTTTTGAAGAGAAATAAAAATCATAGATTTTTTAAATAATGTCCCACCCCAACACTCATTGACTGTTTCTGAGTGCATTTACTCAAACTGTGTATTAATTTTTCAATAATCATTTAATATGTTTTTTTGTACACTTTTGGAGTTTGCCTGAATATTTTTTACAACATACAGCTGTCTTAGGCACACTCATAACCATCACAGAAATCCAGACAAAAAAATGCAATTCCTGATTCTGGATGTATGAGACAGTAATGAGATCAAGGATTTCATACACTAATAGTTGTACACATTACATGAAATTATCTACTATGAAGTAATTGATTTAATGCGTAATAAATTTTTTTGGCATTTGATGAGTAGAAGGAGACTAACAAAGGGGCAGTTGCTCCTGGGCCTCATGTGTGATAGGTCTTTCCTTTTACCATCAGAAACAGTAATTTCTCTATATATAGCCATAAAATTATAATCTCTAAATTATAGTTATTATAAGAAAATTATTTTATTTTGTGAAGTCCTTGTATAGGTTATTTGTAGCAGTGTAAAAGAAAATTTAATATGTATTTTCACTTCAGTTTGAACTGTGGTATATTTTACAATCCTCCTGTCCTAAATTGGCATATTTCCACCTGTGGCCCCTTCCTGACTTTTTGAACTAGTTCACCTCTGCTGTTGGGTAAAAAGTGTAGGTTTCACCCACTGATAAAGGAGGACTAGTTCAAAAAGAGGAGAAGGGGCAGTGATGATATATACAGTAAACATCTTATTGTCATCATGAAGATTAATAATTTTGATTTAAATTATAGCTTCATTTGAGGTTATAAAAAATCCATTTCATACATTTTTAAGGAATATCCACTAAGAAAGCATCACCATTAGTGTAGTAATTTGTGAAAAAAAGTGCTTCTGCCAATATTTGTTATTGGTAATGCATGAATTCAAGAACATGCTTACTTAGTAATACTAGATTATGAATATCTGATATACCATGCCCAAATGTAATGCATTGTTGAGCTAATGGAGAAAACTGAATATCATAAGACAAAGATGTATTATGGGGCAATAATATACACACAGACATTCTCAGGTCTTCCCTGCTTATCCAAATCATAGGATAAGAAGTATTTAGTAATTAATATCTAGTAATAAAAAATGTGTAATTGATAATTAGACATTATAATAGAGTGTACTAACTATGATAAAGATATAAATCTGATCACTTTAGTCTTATCCTAAGCACTTACATATGTACCTTGAGTGCAGAAGGCTTATATTGTGCCTTTATTAGATGCCAACAATCTAATTTTCATAATATTGTCTCTTTATGATTAGTGTATCTCCAAAAATGTAAAATTTACTCTTGAAAGGAATCAAAATGAATACCAAACCACCTTGAATTTGAGTCTTGGTATATTTTTCTGTATCTTGTAAATGAAGAACATTTCAAATACTTTGCAATGATTTGTGTAAGTCAATGTTAACTGTTTTTGTGATTAACTACTTTGCTATGATTTGTGTAAGTCAATGTTAACTGTTTTTGTGATTAACTACTTTGCTATGATTTGTGTAAGTCAATGTTAACTGTTTTTGTGATTAACTACTTTGTTATGATTTGTGCAAGTCAATGTTAACTGTTTTTGTGATTAACTACTTTGTTATGATTTGTGCAAGTCAATGTTAACTGTTTTTGTGAATAGATGTATAAAAGTTTTTTTTACTTGTTTCATTTTCGTTTTATTTGCTTTGTGTAATGAATAGCAACCAAAAAAATTAATTTACATGTTTTAAGAAGAAAAAATTTTTTTTACAAACTTCAAAAATGGGAGACAACAAGACTTGCATCACGTGCTGTTTTGCTTCAATTCCTTATTTTAAGTGTTTTGATCATGCACAGAAGCTATATCATTGATTTTTCTTATTTAAATTGTATAAAGTTGGTGTCATGTCGGGTGGTTCATGCATTATTAGCTGAGTTCTGAATGAGAAGTTCAGTTTTGTGTGTTTGTGATACAAGATCACACAGGCTAGAAACTAGTAATATTATTGAAATCTCATGTACATTTTTCCTGTTGAATGTAATAGTTAGTTACTTTTTTTGAAATGTTGTTGACATATAACTTAAAGTTTTGTGCTGAAGTTTTTAGTTAAAGAATGCAAATATGTTTTATCTGGTCTTTTAAACTTGAATGTGGTATTCAATGTACATATATTTCAAATGTGCTGTATGTCTTCAGGGCTGCATGCTTGTCTAAATGTGTATTAACCATTTTCATAATGAAAACAGAAGATTGTAATATTGAAAAACGTTTTTTGTTTCAACACTAAAAGTATAAAATGGAACAAAGTAATGCAGTCACTTTTAATATCTGTTTAAACTGGATAACATAAGTGTAAATTTTTCAGAAGTTGTTGTAAATGATTCCACATTTTATACATTGCTCAAAGTTCAAACGAAAACAGGAAGTCTGAAAAACACTTAAAACATATTATTCAAATAGTTTCCTCTTTTCAATAAATAAATAATATTTGTGTATTATGAAGCAGATAATTAATATGTGGATCAACTGTTGTTTTTAGAACATGAGTTACATAATAGAATGAGATTTGCAATAAAAGCAATTTAAACCTTTTGATACCAGTAGGTTAGTTTGATTATGGTGAATGAATAAGTGTTTAGATGTTTATATAACCTCTGTTTTTCAGTAAACATTAAACGTTTGAAGTTTTTATCAATTTAATTTTAACACAAAAGTCAGTATTGTGCATACTGCATTATATATTTGGTTATAAGATTTAAAAGTCAGTATTGTGCATACTGCATTATATATTTGGTTATATGATTTAAAATTATAATAATATAAAACTATATCAGTATCAGCTTTGTTTAATATTCACACAATTTTTTGCATGTTAAACAAGTACTTTATAAGTTTTATTGCTTCTACCTATTAATTTCTACTAAGTAGAATACTTTTTTAATGTTAATTTTTTATACTATCGTGATTTATGTGTGGCCCTATGCTAAATATGTATTCATGTATATTTATTTTTAAATACAAGTTCCAGACAGTTTTTTATATTGAAATATTTTTCATTTTAGGATTTCCAGCTTTTCCTGAGCAGCCAGAATTCAAATGTCAGTTATGTCATAAAACTTTCCGTTCCTATAAGTCTGAGATGATGCACTTTCACTATCAACACAAGAGTCACCGGAATTTTCCATGTAACGTTTGTGGGAAGACTTTCACCAGAAAGCATACAATGGTTATGCACTTTCGTGCACAGCATATTCTAAAAAACAACTTATACTGATTACATTTTTTAATTTGTTGACTTGGATGCATTTTTTACAAGTTCTGATATGTACAAGGTCATATTTATAAAATGCGTTGGTTTGGAGAGAGTGGTTTAGAAAGCCTAGTATAGTCTTGAAAATAAGCTATTTTTCTAAAGTAGTGAATCAGATTGTATTTTAGTTGAGTACATGTAGTTGCTCTGTTTCTGTATATTTATTACAGAAATATCTTTCTTGCTTATTAATTAAATTATTTTAGTAAGAACTATATGAGATTTGCATTTTTTACTAGATTTTGAAGGAGAACTGTCGATATACCTTCTGTACATCGCAGACTGATGTTATTAAATATTAATTTGAAAAATAATGTAATATGTTCTTAGATTTTAAGTCATTATGGTCTTATTTGTTTCATGTTAACTAATGTTCCAATTTATAAATGTAAGATTTGTTTATTACTAATTCTAAAGAAAATATGATGAATAGGGTGATGACATGATACTTTTGTGAGTTAATTAATTGGAAAATTAAAAAAATAAGTCATTTAGTGAATAATATGTCTTATCTAAGAAGTAAAAGATTAAGAGGTCATACACATGTATGAATTATTTTTTGTTATTTTTAGCTTATCGTAATGAATTTGAAAACACGAGTTAGTATTTGGTGAACAGCGATGTATAAATTTGACTTCAAAGGTTATAATCAGCCATCAATCAATATATGAAACTTTACAAGCAAAATCACTAATTGTTCACTTGGATGTTTGTCGAATTAATCCTTAGTTTTAAAACATATTTAGTTTTAAGTAGGACTGGACTATGTAAGTTCAATAAATGAACTAGCTACTGTGTACAGGTTTCTGTGTTTTTTCAGTGACAGGTGTAATGATAATTGTTCAGTACAGTTGATGAACACAATAGAGTTTAATTCAATAGCTGAAGGGAAGGAATTTCCTTCACATATAATAAGAACTACACACATTAAGTAAAACAAGTTTTTCAATAGATTGCTGGATGTTTTATCACAGTCATTTTTAGCCCACTCTATATAAAATTGAGTTTAGATTGTCAATAAACAGTGAATTATTTTAACAGTACTCGTATATATTTTTATTTTTCAAAAAAAAGTTTTTATTTTAGGGTAGTGGAACTTTGGTTTAGTAGCTTTTGTTGTTTCATAACTGCTCATTTACAACTATTTTGTTATTCCAAAAACTGATGCTACACACAATAGAAAGGCAGTATTATTCCTGAATATACCCAACTGTCTAATTACCTTAAATATCTTTTGTAACCATTATACTGTTTTAAATCCTTTTTTTTTTTCACATTGTTACCACAAACTTGCAAATTTTACTGAGCTTACATTAAAGTAAAGTTAAATGCCACATTCATGCAATTACTGTCAGCATCTGATTAGGGCACTGTAACAGAATGCACATGATAAAAGTCTTAAAGATTCATCACTATCAAAATAGTATTATGGTATTTCAATTTGTCTAAATAGTTCTGTAGAAATTCATGTTGCAAATATGGGGATGCTGTTGATTTAAATTATCTGTAAAGAAGAAAAATAAGGTATCTCAATGTCAGGTGGACTGTCATCTCTGATTTCAGTAAGAAGAAAAATCATTACCTTTCCTTTCTAATCTATATTGCTAATTTTACTCCAACTGCATTCAAGATTGGAAGATGTATTGTGTAGGTTTGTTTGAAAATTGTTTTTGACATGTGATCTATCTCTTGAAAAATGATGTTAAATTAATAATTTACTTTTAAATACTGTGATAATAGAATGAGTGGACAATGTTTTTTAAAAAAATAATACAATATTGGGTTAGATTTGGAAGCACATCTGGTGCCGGAAGTTTAACCAAACAATAATATTGCTCACAAAAACCTTCTTTGTTACTGTGAAACTTTAATAACTGCTTTAAATGCTTTTAAGTAATTACAGCAAGTAATTTGTAAATATTTAAAAAATATTATTCAGTTTTTATGTGTTTACAGTTGTTTAAGGGTTAAATCAGTTTGAAAATGATTTAGGAAAATAAAGAAAATATATTGGCTTTTAAGTGGTGTACAATTGCTTTTATAAAATACTACAGAAAAGCTTCTTTTTTTATCAGGGTGCATTTAGATGTATTATTGAGAGAAATTATTTCATTAAAGGTTTTTTCGAATTTGAAATGAGAGAAATAAATTCAAATTCACCAGTTTGATGTTACGGCTTAAAAGTGTTTGAAGTAGTACCTGTTTTCTTGGTTGGCTTATACATGAAACTACACTTTGAAAAGAAAGAAAATCTTTGTTTTCATGATATTTCATTATCCTGTGTTTTATATTTACTTTCTTGCTACTAAGTATTTTATGAAAAAAACAGAATATTATCTTTACAGGTCACTATCCCTTTGGGCCACAGTATGTGTGTGAAGTTTGTCATAAAACTTTTAAAACCTATTGCACTATGAAATCCCACCATCATCATCAACACAAAAGTCATCGAAATTTTCCGTGCTTTGTCTGTGGAAAAATCTTCACTAGAAAACATGCCATGGAAGTTCATTGTCGTGTAAAGCATCAGTAGTTGAAACTTCTGCTTTGTAAAAAAGGGGCTTAGTTCATTATCTTTTAGCAGTTTTTTATGGTATATTTTTATAAACGAGCAGCACAAGTTCTTGGGAAAATGTTTGAATATTTTTTCTTTCCTGCCTTGTGTGTCATTAAAATGTACTGTAATATTTTTGTTTTGAAACAACTATCATATGTATGTGTGTGTGTGTGTAATTTTTTCTTGAATAGATACTATGTTTGAAACGTTGTTTACATCCATTTATAAAAATTGTACCTGTCACCATAAAACAGCCAATTTTTCATGATTACTCTTAAACTAATAGGTTAAAGTTCTACTAATATAACATTTTATATACACTTCTTTAAATACCCTTCCTAAATGTAAAACCAATGATTTAAATTATCTGATACACTAAATACAATGGTACCTATAACATACTAAAATATGTTTGATTTTGTTTGTCAGTAAATCTGCAAATTTTCTTTAACCCAAAACAATCTGTTCGTAATAATAATTATACTTCAAGGTTTTTCATTATAATATTATTGTAGACTAAGTAAGTGATTCTAAGGTACATTTTGTTAAAAAAGTTTACTTCTATAGTTTATATAATATAAATTGGATTGTTCTTTATTTAATCACTAGCTGGAGTATCCGTCCACTGGATGGAAGTTATGTAAATTCATGATTAATGAAAGGTTATCTTAGGACATGAAAACTTGCTTCCATCATATGTAATTGTAAAAAATGCCCATAAGAATTGCAAAGCACAAGATGTGAAACTGCAAATTTGCATGTTTCTGCACATGGACCCAACAAACCTTCATGCCAAATTTGGTGAATATCCATCAACAGAGTGCAAAGTACTGGTAAAAACTGCAAAATACAAAACTGAAAATTTGTATGTATCTCCCAATGAACCTCCATACCAATTTGGTGAAGATCCATCCACAGGAGGTGAGGTAGTGGTAAAAAATGCAAAATGCTAAACTGAAAATTTGTATGTACCCCCGCATGAACCTCCATACCAATTTTGATGAAGGTCCATCCACACACTGCAAAGTAATTACATTGACATGCAACAGACAATGCTTTTATATTTATATAAATGCATTTCCACAGCTTAGTTGTTTAATGTAGAGTATGCCGTCTTTATAAAGAATATTAAAAAGGCATAATTTATAAGAAATATTATTTATTATGTAATTTTAAGAATTCATAACATTTTTTTCAAAAGCTATAAAAAGTACTGAAAATGTTACCATTACTTGTAATTGTGTATCTGTTATAAGTACTAATATTTTTCATTATGAACACATAATACTGATCCTCATGTTATAAAAAATGATGAATTATATGCACAAAATTACTGTCAATATCTGTAGCTTGTTTTTAACCATCAACGTTAAAAAGCTTATCATGGCCAGGTGGTTAGGGCGCGCGACTCACAATCTGCGGGTCGCAGATTCAAATCCCCATCACACCAAACATGCCCGCCCTTTCAGCCGTGGGGCATTATAATGTGATGGTCAATCCCACTAATCGTTGGTAAAAGAGTAACCCAAGAGTTGGCGGTGGTTAGTGATGATTAGCTGCCTTCCCTCTAGTCTTACACTACTAAATTAGGGACGGCTAGTGCAGATAGCCCTCGTGTAGATTTGCACGAAATTAAAAAAAAATGAACAACATTAAAAAAATCTGTAATCTATTCTTGTAGCTATCACAAGTAAAAGTGAATGGTATGAACAGTGGTTTTAAAACAAGCATACTCATATTTTCAGGACTGGGTGTCTTACAGCACATATACCAGGAATTCTACCAAAAGTAAACATTTTTAATGTGAGAACATGGCTTTTGAAGCTTGAGGGAAACATCATTGATCATCTACTGATGAAAAACAAATAATTGAATTCAGTTTCTATAAAGGTCTTTTTTATTTTTTGTTAAATAAAGAAGATAGGTAATATTTTTGTTTATTGGTTACAAGAAAAATATTAGCTGTTTATTAGATTAACTAGCATTTCCAACTCTTTCGTACCATATTTAGTGGACCTGGATCTCTCTCAGCACAGCATATTTGGTATAAATACTTTAAGCTTAACCACAGCATATCTGGTATAAATACTGTGAGCTTAATTACAGCATATTGAGTGTAAATACTGTGAATGTAACCACAGTATATCAGGTATTAATGCTGTAAGCATGTTTTGTATTAATATTGTAAACCTGACCACAGCATGTTTTGTATGAATACTGTAAATTTGACAACAATATGTCTGGTATTAATACTGTAAGCTTAACTACAATATATCAGATATAAATACTGTAAGCTTAATCACAGCATATCTGGCTAATACTATAATTATAGATTTAAGGAAAATTGTGTGTTTCATAAGTATTTCATTTTACCATCATGGTTTTGCCCATAAACACATCACCAGATAAATACAGCATGTCAGTTGTTGTTGTCAACTTAATCACAAAATTCTTAAGCATATCAAATAGTTAAGTCATGTTGTAGATTAACCAGTCATAGTCTTATTAACAAATGTTCAGCAATCCAGTTTCTACTAAAATGATGTCCCCAGTGGTTTAGTGGTAAGTCTGCAGACGTATAATAATAAAAATTGGGTTTTGCTACCCATGGTGGACACAACACAGATAGCCCATTGTGTAGCTTTGTGTGTGTTACTACAAACAAACAAATAAATCTACTACAATTACTAATGCACAACATTTTTTTTCACCATCATAAACCCAAATAAAGTGGTATTTCAGTGGCTAGCATAATCAGAATTACGTAATTCTTGTGAAAAATTGTTGTTTAAACATTGTTTTTTTATGTCAGGATATGACTGTGGTAAGGATCATTTGGACTATGAATTTATTAGTGGGACTACAGTCTTTATGACGTTGCCTGTATGTGTAATATTTGGAGAACATTAGTTGTAATAAATCCAACTATTAATCAGTTGTTCAAAGTTTTTGTCATTTTTTTTCACAGCAGCATTTTCTCTCATTAATGTTTCTTCCATTTGTTTTGGTAACTTTTTCTTTATTAATAGTTTCTCATTCTTTGAACCCTGCGCTATTTTGATGGGACTTGATCATTGATATCTTACTGCAAAAAAATCTGTATATAATGGTTACTCTCCAATATTTATCCACTTTTGACAATATTTTATTGTCCTAGTATGCTGTTACCTCTATTTCTGTTTGCAGGACTTGCATCTGATTTTTTATATGTATTTATATATATATATACACACACAATCTTGGGTAAACCTAGAATGATGTGTACTCTTACTTCATCCCTTGGAGTACACCAATCAGAACAGTTTTTTTTTTTGCTGGGTATGGTTCTATAAAATTATTTTTTGTTAACTATAATCATATTAGATGTTCAAGATATTGCTATTAAACAGCGTAAAATTTGGGCTTTATTGTAATTATGAAAAAGTGATTAGTTTTTGAAAATATTATCTCGGCATATTATTATTTAATTATGTATGAAATTTTCATGTTTATGAAATATTTTACTACAAATGTTTTATGATGCATAAGTGTATATGTAAATGTTTTGATGTTGTTGTTAAAGTCAGGATCTTACATTTTTCAATTCCAACATTTTAATTTTTCAGGGAATCTTTCGGCACAATACAGGTGTGAAGTGTGCCACAAAAGTTTCAGAACTTACTCTACATTAAAGTCACATTTTCATCAGCAACATAAAAATCATCGTCACTTTCCATGTCAAGTTTGTGGCAGTGTTTTCACAAGAAAGTTTTCACTTGAGCGTCACTTTGGACTAAAACATCTATAAAAGTGCCCTTATGGAATACAGTAGGTCTGCCACTGCTATTGCTACTTAAATTGTCTGTATAAAGTAAATTTTAAACTTAGAATTTTTTGTTGTGTTTTAATTTGTTTTATACAAATCATTTGTAGAAAATTTAAATACTAAGAAATTGTCTGCTTGTTTTTGTAAATGCTTTATTTTATGTCAGTCATGAGTTATGTGCAATGGCTTTGTGCTATTTTTAAAATGATTTCTTATATACTTTTACAAGAACTGAAAAATATTGTTTCTGTAAAGAAAACGGTGTATTTTTGAAATCATAGCTGAAAAACTACTTGATCTCTTTTCATCTTTATTTATACCAATTTGTCCAGAGTTCTTGAAGTTTTCACATTTTGTAAAAAAAAAAGTGTATCTTTTTTGTATTCAATAGAGACTATTTGGTATTTCTTTATATTGTTGTCTTATTATCTAACTTGATATATTGTTGACATGATTGGAATTGGTGTACTTGAAATGTTTTTATGATAAGAAATGTGTTTGTTGATGTACTTTTAGGACTTTATTTTGATTCTTTTTTTTTGTAGAATTTCCCATTTTTTGAAGGGCATTTTGACAACCAGCAGCAGAATCCAGTTTATAGATGTCATTTGTGCTATAAGACGTTTCGTTCCTACATGTCAGAAAGGATGCATTTCCACTATCAGCACAAAAGTCATCGACATTTTCCTTGTAGTGTTTGTGGCAAAACCTTCACTAGGAAACACACTATGGTTATGCACATTCGTGCACAACATCCTCAAAAAAAATAATTAAAAATCTTTATTTCTTGAATAATGAAGTAATATGTAAGGTCTGTTGAAATCTGCAGCATTATCTTAAATAAAATCATTTGATTTATTGTAAGTCATAGAAAAAGCTCTTAAAAACAGGGCTGGCACAAGATAATTTTGTTTATAAATATGTATTTGGTTGGTACAAGTATGGTAAAACATATGAAACACATTTATGATGACATTATTAACTGCAGATAAAAAGTAGGAGTTTAATGACAGAGCTTACCAATTTATTTATCAATTAGTAGGATTATTGCAGCTACCTAATGTTTACACTTGAGCAAAAAAATTCTTATTCAACATTACTGAAGATATGGTTCATGCTGCAGTCTGTTGTGTGGTACTTTATCTGGAGTCTGTTGTTAAATCAGATAAATTGTAGTTTTGATGTAACTTACATTGATACTACTGTGTTCATATAATTTCTGTGTTTTAAGGTGCCAGCTGCAGTCATTTTTATTACTTTTTAAAATACTTTGTTTATGTTGTTATACAATTGAGGCTGTATAGTTCTCCCATGATCTATGCACTTGTATCTAGTTTTGTACCAACATTGTATGTTTCAGTTGAAAGAAGTATCTTCATTAAAGAACCTCTTATTTTCATTGTCTCATCAGAACGTTTATTAACAAGGATAGCAACAGTACTTGATTTGTAATAGTTTCAGGTAAGCATAAATGTTATTTCAAATAAAAAGGTGTGTAAACACATTTATAAACATAAATAAACACAAAACTAATGCATTGCTTTATAAAACCCATCAAGGTATATAAAATTCAAATTGTTTTTCTATAAATTACATAACGTAATGTTTTCAATGGAAAAGGAAATTTGAATATTATTATAATGATATCATAAATTAGGTAGCAAAACTTATATTTTATCTCCTAAACCTATGACCTACTTGAGTATCTAGATATGTTTCTAGGACCCATTCTCAGGTGTGCGTTAATGTTCTAATATATTCAGTACAGTCTAGTGGTTCTTTTGAATTTTTTTGTTTGTTCACAAAGATTTTTACGATTATTATTATTTTATGAATATTAAAATAAAAATATGCCATTTTTACTGTGCCTTGTTCTGCAACCCACCTCCAAACCTATTGTGACCCACCAGTGGGAAATGCTTTTCTAAACTATGACAACATTCAAGGTTTTTAAAAAGCGTATGTAGTGGCACGGTTGGTAGAAAACTCAAAGTCAGATTTAATAATGTTGTTGCTTGTGTTTTTATTAGTAAGCGCCTTTCTGATATTCATAAAAGAAATCAAAGTATTGTATTTATATTTTAAATGTTTAACAAAACTTGCATGTATAATTAATCATTTTCGTATAAAAGCTTTTCTTTGTAAAATGGTAACTATGTAGTTAAGAAAGTATAAAAAGAAGCCATCCAATTGATGTAAGATTTAATTTAATAATTTTCTACTTTAAGGCTTTCTCAGCTTGGGAGATTATATTATAACATTGTCTATCAAGTAAAATCAACTAATGAAAAAGCTGGTTTTGAAAGACTTAGTTATTAAAAACTATATTGCAAGGATTCTGCCTATAAAGTTTTCTCTTGAGCCTGTCATACTCAAAAAGTGTGTATTAAGCAGTAAGTGGAAGTTTTCATACTTTTGAAAATACTGAATTTTTATATGAGATGTAGATGTTTTGATATCATCTCTTGTACTGACACCTTCACTGGAAGTTTTATAAGGTCAAACTTTGATAGTGAAATGGATTTCAGTTACTGTTGAACTGCACTTTATATGGTATTTATCCTGCTCAGTTAATATATTTAACTTGTTTTCTGTAAAAAAACAACATTTTAAAGCATTTCTGGTTAAACATAACTTTTCATGTGGAGCACAGTCTTCTAAAATCATTATTATCACAATGAACAATCAGCAGTACTCTGTGTGAATATGATTACAATGTGGTATTTATTACATGTAATAGTCAAATACCTTTTAAGCAAAAAACATGCAAAAATTCCGAATAAGCTACAAAATGAAGTAAGAAAGTAAATATGATTTGTGTTCAGTATCTATATTAATTGTATTCATGACCCAATAATGCCAAAATGTTTTAAGAGTATACTGTAAAGTATTTTGTGCAATATACATACACGCACTCACATATATACACACACACACACATATAATTTTTTACATTTTGTTTTTTTTTTTTGGCTTCTAGACATGTCAGAGCTATTGTATGCTTTTATACCATAGTTACACAATCTGATAATCTATATCATATCACAAAAAATTATGCTCTGAATTCAAAAAACAAATTAACACAGTTTTAAAATTTTGTTTGTTGTAAGATTGTTATTCATTAAAATACAACCACATTATTTTTAAGCTGTTTTGTATATTTTACCTCTAATTTGTATTATATAACATAAGGTGGAAAAGGAAATAAGTTTCTCAAGTGTTAAACCCTTGAAAGGTATAAAACCAAGTGGGATTCAAAGCATGCCCCAGCTAACCACAGGCAGGTATTCTAGACTACTTATCTGCTAGGTACCTTTTGGTCATAATGAATGATTTGTTTACTGAATCTCATGGCATTGGAAATAAAAAGCACAGATGGTTAAAACACTTTTTCAATTACCAAGGATGTGGGTTAGTATTTTGCTTGATCTCAACTTACACTTTTTCAATAAAATTAAAAAATCTTTATGATGTTTTATGCCTTTTAAATGAACTCTCTTAATACCAGTGTATTGAATTTACTGGTTGTTCACTTTACTCTTAGGTGTCCTCAGAACAAAGTAACTCACATTTAATTACATTAATCAACTTTGTAGAATGTGATTATATATGTGATGCAGTTATTATTCAGACAGAAAATAAATTAGCATTTAAGTAATGCTTGGCTGAAACCTATACTTAGACCATTTAGCAAAGAGCAATTGATAATCATACCTGGGAAGTCAGAATATGACTCCTTTACTGTGCCAGATCTTTAATGTCTTGTATGTAATCTCTACTTCTGTTCCTGCAAGGAGTGTAGTGCCCATGAACTGTGCCAGATCTTTAATGTCTTGTATGTAATCTCTACTGCTGTTCCTGCAAGGAGTGTAGTGCCCATGAACATACATTTTCTTGCATCTGATATATTTTTTTGAATATTTCTTTGCTAGCATTCTTATTCTCTAGCCATATAAAAACTTAGTATCGACACACTATCCAGTGAAACTTAAGTAAAATATATAATTACAAACTTTCTTATTATGCACAATAAATAAAAGATTTCTTCACTTAATCGTTCTTGCTTTATTCAGATAGTTTACCCACAAAAGTGCCTTTTTTTAATATTTCAGTAGTGCTAAAGAAAGTAAGTTACATTTCTGTAGTGTTACTGAGAATTTTATAATTGAGTGGTTGAAGTTATGGATCAGCATTGTATTGTATATTTTTTTAAAAATTTAGTATAAGCTAAATCCAAAAGTTCTCAGGTATGTGTTGATCTGTTCATAAACCCATTGTGCTGTTCTCAGGTGTTTGTGACAAACCCAGATACTTCTTATCGTAGGCCTGGATTGTGAGTTATGTGCTTTACTATTGCTCACTTTTTATGAGTTGCTGTCAGAATGACTAATTTTTTCAGATACTGTAATCATTGCTTTGTAGGTGTTATTTCATTGATATGACATATTATTAGTGTTCATATAGTCTTATGTATTACAGATTTCACAATTTAAGATTTCTAAGAGCCAAAACTAAATTTGTTAGAGATAATCAGTTTGAAGCATCAAATCCTTTGATTGAGGACACACAGTTTTAATAAATTTATAGTTTGTAATTAAGCCTAACAAATAAGTTTAATCCTATCGTAATATTTTAGGGATTATATCTGAAAAGGCTTATCTCAACGAAAGAAAAAAGTTATTATTTTGATTAACCTTAAACATGTAGTATTTCTCGGTGAATTTTTTTATGTTGTTTGACTTAGAGACCTGTTCTAGGAATTATATAATTAAGACAATGTCTAAGCAGACACTTTGTTTAATGCTGTTGTAGTTTATCAAAAGCTTTAATTTGGGTTAGATAGTCTGTTTGACCTCAGTTTATTTTAGAAGGTGAGAATGTTACATAGTATCTGCTAGCTAGCCTTTTATTGTTCTTAAAAAAGTTTTGTTTTTAGTATTCCTCTTTATTTATTTTTACATTTTTCTTCATACATTTAAAATAGGACTAAAAACAAAGGTAACCAACTGTGTTTTTAAAGTCACTTGCTATATATCTTGTACAACAATGTGTAAAGTCAATAACTAGTAGTTTAATATTTATCAGTGGGGTTATTGGTTTAGACTTATTACCTGATATCACAACATGAGGACTATAATTTTTTCTATTTTACATTCAGTTTTTGTATGAAAATTTAAATGTTTTGTTTTTCTGGAGGCCCAACCTTAATCCCATGCATGTTAAAACACATGCAGTACGTGAAAAGTATGTGCTAATTTTCTAAGCAATACAAAGGCCATTTCAAGGATGGACTCCTTTTTTTTTAAAGTAACAAAATTTAATTACAATATTTAGTATTACTGTTTTTAATTGCTCTAAATTTATCTGGCAGATAAATAAACAGATTATGCTCTGAATTTATCTTGTAGATAAATAGACAGATTAGCATTACTGAATGCTGTATTAATTATGCCAGTAAACTAAATTCTGTAAATATTTTTAATCTTGTATATTCCTCCCATAAAATAAATATTTTCACATCAAGTATATAATAGCAGTATTATTTTATCATGAATATTTATGCATTATACACGCACACATTAATACAATATATGTCTACTATTTGAACATTGAAGATTTTAATACAGCATTAACTTATGATAGCTGTACTTTTGCATTTTTCCAGATCTCATATTTGGGGTTTTCCTGTAAATTGTATGTTTGAATGCATGTTTGCATTATACAAAGTAATAAAGAAATAAAAAATCTAGAATTCTTATTTATTGCTGTTTATTAGGAATTTAAAAGTTTCAAGTAACACATTGTATGTCACTGTCATTAATTATTTCTGTTATTGTTATAAGATTGTAATACAACTAATTTCATTTTATTTTGGAGTCAAGTTTTATTTACTCAATTATGCATAAGTTATATATTTTACATAATATTTTGGTGAATTTTATAGGAACGTGGGCATCATTGAATAATGAATATCGGTCATGGGGATATAATTGTTCATTATGTCACAAAAGTTTCCGGTCCTATATGTCAGAAAGGATGCATTTTTACCATCAACACAAAAGCCATCGACACTTTCCCTGCAGTTCTTGTGGTAAAGTCTTCACACGAAAACAGAACCTTATGAAACATGTACGAAACAAGCACCAACTTATTTAGGTTGTTTTATATGTGTATATATGACTGACACTTAATATTTAATACCATGTTAGTGTATACTATTATGCTTTTAAGTAATCAGTTGTTGGTGGTTAATTCTTTGTGTTTGTTAAAACTTATGAAACAAACTTTCATGTAAGGTAAGAGTCAGTATTGTTTTATGGATCTTATTACTGTTTTTATAGGTTTGTTTAAATAATTTGTTTATGATATGTAGTAATGAATCAGTTCCAAGCTAAAATCTCATGTCTTCATACAGGTATTTAGTTTGAATATGGAAACATACGTGACTAATAAAGTTATTTTACAGTTCTAAGATGTACATGCGTTATAAACTCTGTTCATTTTGTTTGTGGATATCTTTAATTTTAACCGAGTTATTAAACAGAATTGACATTTTTGTCAGTTTGACTAGTTTATGGTATAAACGTATTATTGTACAAACCAAGTTTATAATGTTATAAGAACATGAACTGTTACTGTCCACTGATATAATATACACACAATATTTTGCTGAGGTTCATTAGATAATTATTACTGATGGTGATAGTTTGGACTTTAGCCTACTTTTCCTGCCAAAAGGGTTTGTATTTAATGTTATTCTCATCTCTTATATAGGTTTTTTTTTTGCACAAATAAAATCCACTATTATCTGAGTCAGGTGAAAAAATTTAAATATTGGGTCAATTCATTTTCCAGACTGCAACAAGCCAAAGGTAAACACAAACCTGTTTTGCACCATAACTTGTGCTATTACTGGTAATACCATATCCTAGCTTATCTTTCACATGACAGTGTAACATCGCAGTTTGACTAAAATTATTTCATTTAACTGTAAACAGTAGTCTGAGCTACTGAAAGTCACGAAAAAGAATCCTGTAAATTAATATCGATAAAAGTTGGATGTTTATTGATAAATGACTTAGCAGTGGTTCTTTTTTTTTTATGAAAGAACCTTTTTTACATATTCACTTAGATATTTTATATTAGATCAAAATTGAACATGTAGAACTGATATCCTGCAATCACTTTATTGAAGTTTATGTACATGTGAAATAAATACATATGGAAACAGCCATTTTTATCGAGGTACCACTTGAATAGAAAAATCTATGGTTTCATGCATGCCTAGTGTTATGATTAAGGCTGTATTCTGATTGATTCCTCAGTATATATATACATGACATGCCCAGGGTTATGATTAAGGCTGTATTCTGATTGATTCCTCAGTATATATATACATGACATGCCCAGGGTTATGATTAAGGCTGTATT